TATATATATATATATATATATATATATATATGTGGTAGATGAATATTCAATATCTGCACTTTTACTAAAAAGCTTAAAAGCATTTATACGACAAAACTCCCTCGTATCCTATGTATTTGAAGAAACAATTGTACATACTAAAGGTGAGAGAAGGTACACAATTAATGGACCATATGTTCAATGAAGGAAAGTAGAGGATATAAAGCCCTCTAGATTTTGACCTCCCTTTCTACTTCATATGATATTTAAGTATAACTGTAATGTATGGTAAAGACATCATAGACACAAAGGAGGTTACAGCAGCCCTATCATCAGATGAGATAATGAAAAGGCCCACTATTAAAGGGGTATATGCAAAGGAACTGGTGGTAGACAGATTAATGAAGAAGAGATTATCTAGATGTACATATAGGTCAAAATCGAGGAGGGAAATGACCTCATGAGATGCCATTATTGTAAAAATTTAGGATATGGGAAAAAGTACTAGAAAATGGTCAAAGACTCTTTTGATGAAGCTATTATTACAGAGGAGAATACAAACGGTAGCCTTGGACATGCTCTCTACAAGTACAAGCAATGATTATTTTTCTGAGGCTTGATTATTTATTCTGGTTGCAATTTTCATATGTTTCCTTGCAGGGAGTGGTTTTACATGTACAAGTCACATGATGGTCAGAATGTCTCAATTGAGAATGATATGTCCTGTAAGATAATTGGTGTAGGCCCTATGAGAATTAAGATAGTTGATGGCACCGAAAAAGCCCTAGCGGATGTTCAACATGTACGCAAATTTATGGCATATGCGTTTGGGGCCTACAAGTGACAAGGTCTGAAGGAACTTTGTGAGGCGAAATTGCTAAAAGGTACCAAGCCTGCAATTTGGACTTCTGTGAGCATTGGATTTACGGAACAATGCAGAATAAAATATAAATCTACACATCATCACAGTCAGAGCATCTTAGATTACATGCCTTCAAATCCTTGAGGGCCTACTCCCATTGCATCAAAAGGTGGTATTTTATAGTTTGTTTCTTTTATTGATGACTTTTTAAGAGAAGTATGAGTGTATGTGCTTAAAAGCAAGTAGGATGTTGTTACTACTTCTGAAATGGAAAATCATGGTAGAAAAACTAAACAAACAAGGTAAAACTTCAGGACAGATAATGGTTGAGATTTTTCATTAAATGATTTTTTTACTTCAGCAGAATGAATGAATTGTCATTTCACAATTGCAGGTACTCCACAACAAAATGGGGCAGCAAAAATAATAACAGAAGACTGCAAAAATAATAACAAAAGGAGGCTTATGTGAAGTATGCTTACTAGTGCTGACCACGAAAAGCACTTTAAGGCTGAAGCAATCAATACAACATATAACTCACTGAAAAGATCACTCTCTAGAGAGAGAACCTACAAGAAACCTGAAGAGGTATGGTTTGATAAGCCTTCCACTTATTCAATTCTTAAAGTTTTCATAAGGACCACGGCATTATGCAACAGACCTACCCAGCTCATCGTTTATATCACCAATAGTAAGGTTTGTGTCAAACCCAGGCAAGTTCGTTCCTGTGAGCGGAATATCATAAGGAGAAGAATGCTATCCTCCCTCCCGGATGCTAACCAACCATAAACCGCCTAGCTGGTAATTGTGCTAAAAGTGACCAAACAACTAAGTTATGCCTCAAATAAAGAAAATACATTTTCCTTGGTTGTGGTTTTAGGGATACGTACGAGGGAGTGCTAATTAATGTGAGTACAGTTAGTGGAGAGACAAGTGAGTTTTCAATGATAGTAAGCCTACATCAGGGGTCAGCATTGAGCCCATATCTCTTTGATTTGGTTTGGGACGAGTTAACTAGACAACTACAGGATGAAGTCCAGTCGTGTATGTTGCTTGTAGATGACATAGCTTTGATTGATGAGACTAGAAAATACATGGACATAAGTTAGAACTTAAGAGGGATTCTTTATAAAGTTTTAAAGTTAACCAGACTAAGAAAGAATATCTAGAATGCAAGTTTAGTAATAATAGAAGGGAAAACAAAGAATTATTTAGGATTGATGGCCAAAAAGTACCTAAAAGATATTATTTTGGATGTCTTGGATGGATCGTCCATGAGAAAGTTAGATTGCGGAAGATGTTGCTCATAGAATTAGGTCTAGATGTGCTTCCGAAGTCTTATGTGATAGTCCCATACTAATGAAACTGAAGAGAAAGTAATATAGGACAGTTGTAAGACTAGCTATGCTTTATGGGACGTAATGTTTGGCCGTCAAGAAATAACATATCTATAGAAAGAGAGAAGCTGAGAAGGATGTTGAAATTGATGAGTAGCAAGACAAAGAATGATAGAATACGGAATAAATCCATTCGAGGGAACTTAGAGGTAGCCCCCATAGGCGATAAAATTAGAGAAAGGAGACTTAGGTGGTCTAGTCATATCTAACATCGACCTTGAACAATACTTATTAAAAGGGATTAATTTGGTTCAAGTGGAAGGCTATAAAAGAGTAAAAAGAAGGCTCCAAAGGATATGGATGGAGGTAGTGAGAAAGGATATGGTGAATTACGATCTTACTAAGGTATGGGCCGTTGGGCTTATATACTATTCCATCAGTTAG